GCAGGTGCTTATATGGCAAAGAATAAAGGCAACGGCAAAATTTTAACGCGTTGAGTTTTAACGTTAGTGATGGTACCCTCTCCCATTTGCACAGCTAGTGATACTTTCAGTCTGCACATTTGCTGCGAAAAGTCTTCCTTGGAATCTCAAATAAGATACTAAATGAATCTAGCGGGGTAGGGTCATAAAACTGTCCTAGATTAAAGGTTTTTGGAAGATTTGGATTGACATCTTGGTAAAAATTCGTGGCTCTATGAAGTTACGATAGGCAATGGGGTAAAGGTTAAGTATATGCGCGGGGCAGGAAGATGCCAATGGTTTTTTAACTAATTTGCCAGCGTTTCAACACTCCTGCTGTACTGGCAGACGTATACATTCCATCTACCACTATTTCGGGTATCGTTTGGCCACCTGACTGCCCTCCGCGCCGAACACTTCTGAATTGGGTTTTTTTCTTACTAAATAATCACGTGTGGGTGTGCAGAACGGCGAGCCAATGTAGACCTTTCAGCTGTAGGGGTTCTTGGGGACGATACAGGTCAGCGAATGTCATCCTGCCGACGGAGGGTCGACCAAAAACTCTGCATAACAACACGTTTAGAAAATATACTAGGCAGTTCTCCACAGTTTTCCTTTCCCCCGCGCATATACTTAAGCCTTGCCAACTGCGGTATGGACCGTGGTGATCAGGTTACAAAACTCCGCCGAGTGTAGACAGCGAGCACTTTTCTGGCTTAGCTGTTCCCCTCGTCTGGAGTTGCGCTATCCGACAGCCGTATTGCTCAAGGATTCTACGTCTTAGGACAGCTCTTGCGAGTGCCTTCCCCGTGGCGAACTTGCATGTATTCTTCGCAAACGTTCCCCTAGTACGGTTGGTGGGCAAAGGCCGGCTGCCGTTACAGGCCACATCCATGTTTATTTATTCATTCACCCGCCCCTGTGGAGCGGGATATATTGGCCGTACAACGCGGTTTCTGGAAATGACAATACGCTAACACATGCCTGCCTAGCTAGGTAGTGGTGAAAATCGACCGATTTCGAGTTCAGTTCTAGCACATCTAATCGACACGAAGTACCAAGCCGACGCCAAAGAAGCCTTTAAAGTTATCTACCGGGCACCGGCACACTACTCTAAAGGCCTGCGCAAACGGGTGCTACCCACAGCCGAAGCAGTGGCCATTCGACCAACGACCCCAGCACTCTGTCGTCAGAAGACGCTGACACAAGCAGTCTGCCCTGGCCGACTCCAGGCGGTGATCGCACGCCGTCCCGACGCCCTGAGAGCAGTCACACGCACTTACAGCGCTTACAATCTAAGCGGAACCCCTCTCCTTCCCCCCTTCCACCCCAACTCCACCGTCCTCGACACGCTGACTCCGTCATGCGGGCGGCGTGGGAACATGGAGTCCGATTAACCCTGCCTCTGAGACGCATTTATATCCTCAGTACAATTAGAATGATCATTACCTATGTAAGTGTATCGGCCTGATGATGAGTTATCGAAACCATATGTTCGCCTACTGACGCTCAAATCAGATAAAGTTTCGATCTGATTACTTCTCTAGGGGAACACCCTGATGTGATTGTTAAGAGTGAAAATTACTCACGCAATGTAATTTTGTACTGAAGATCATGAACACCGTAACCACCTCTTGAAAATTAGCCAAGACAGAAATACCAGAGTCCGCCGTTCTGTGTTCCCTGATTTCTGGTGAGGCTAATACTGCTTTAGCATGCGTCGGTCAAAGACAGATTTACCCGTCCGCCACTTATAAATCTTCAGAACCCTAAAAGTACCACAGAACATCTTCTATCAAAGAAGGAGTGGAAGGAATCGGCGAGCGAAAGGACGGACTCAGTTATTAGCGCTTGCGTACCGCTGTGTTTTGGCAAGAGTTAATCAGCAAGGTAACATGTGCATGCTGCTGGCTGCCTGATGAACGCTTAACGAGTAGTGCACGGTCATCCCGCTGTAGCTGGTGGAATTCGGTTCAAATACTCATGCCAACTTTGGGACCAGGCCTAATAAGCTCTCTTCCTAAGAACTATCTCCAGGTTAGGACATTAACTTCTGCGGACATTAAAAAGCTGAAATTTCGACACCGGAGTCTACACCCGAACGCACAAGAAAACGCTTTCGGACCTACTGATGAGTCGAACTCCTCGCAGCTGTGTCATGCAAATGCAGCCAGTTGGTGAAACACGTGTGTGGGCATTTAAATAGTGCCTGTATTGTAGGCATGGCAAATCGTGTGATAATACTTTGAACCCAATGTGGTCTGGGTTATTAGACTTCCGTTCATACGGCAGATTTTTTCTACACCTTACTTTACAAAAAAACGGTGATGGGCAACGTGTGGGTTGCAAATTCTTGACAGAAAGTTAGTGAGTCATGAGGGGTCACCATTTCCCACTTACTGGCTACTCACGTCTTTATACTGCTGCCTTCGCACTAGAAGAGACTGAAAAAGTGCCACTGCGCCCAAGTGGAGACGCCCTCTTTCCAGAGGTAAATATGCAAAAAGTAAAAAAAGAAATAGTTACTCAGGAGGCAGCCGCCTGATAACAGTTTCCTATTATAACGAAGTATTTGAAGGGGAAGGTGGTGTACCACGACAGAAGAAATGACAATGAGAAGCTGCATCGGGACTAGATCAGAGTTCGGTACGCGTTAATGGACTGCGCAATAATAACAGAGTGTCGTTCATGGGGTGTGATGGCACGCCTATGTCCACTCTCAAGTCGCGTCATCCACCTGTGCCTGGTGCCGTCTTTGGTCTTCTTGACTCTGTCTTGACACCGGGCTCGAGTGGGTGAGGGAGGGAGGAGAGAATGCGGCAGATGCTGCGCAAGTCTATTACCACTACAAAGTAGTTCACGCGAAGGTCGCCGTCCCTGCGCCTACCTTCCTATGGGACACATGGTAAACATCTTCGCAAACGACGTTCGAACTGTTAATTGCATGTATCCTGCGGTCGCTGTCTTTCAGGTGCGTTTATTTGAAGGCTTTTCGTGACATGATGAAAGTTATTTTTTCATCCCTGATTGGCCACCGCTTTCCCTCTCCCACTCTTCGTGTACCTAACGCAACCAGTCTCGGCATGCCAGATGACTATCAACAATTTAGTGAGTATGAATTCGAAAGCACCTTGTGAAAATTTGGCTTTCCGTCTGCACAAATTTATTCTAGTTGTTCATCTGTGACTTGGTGACGGCTTTTTGGAATCGTCGGGCGACCTCGGTCACTCAAATAGACTATCCGAAATACGGCGGCATCCGTTGAGGTAAAGGACAGAGTACGGTATGTGTTGTTACGTTAGCGCAACAAGGGCACCACACATGCATGTGACACTCACTAGACCGAGCATCAGGCCTTGCGAGTTACTGCGTCCACTCACCTGACCTTGGACTTGCATCCATGGTGCTTATGCCAGCTCCCCCTCCCTACCCGTCGGAGTCAGGTCTTTGTAATTGTAGGGATTAGCACTTACGTAGCATGTGCAGACTTGGACCCAACCTTGTTAGCCGTGGAGCAGACAAGTATCCCCAATTTTTCTGATTCCGCGTTTTAATATGAACATAGTTCATGCAGGAAGAGAAACTGAGGTCGATTCTGCGTAGGGCTATTTTAACAAATAAAGTTATGGTAGGCCTTAGCCAGAGTGACCTCTGATTAACTCCTCTGTAAGTATGGAATAAAGAAGGATATCATAAATAAGCTTATATTATCCTTGTAACGGAGATTGCTGCGGCCTTTGCTGACATGAGGACCAAGCTGGTCTAGAAAACGAGCAACATTTAAGGCTTTTTTAGGTACGCCATGAATGCAATTCGTCCACCGATTCCGGCAAGTCCAGACTCAACCGATTTCCCACCAGCTGAAAACAATTAGTTTGCATATGCAAATGATTCCTCCTTAAATACGTTCAAAACGGACCAGCGTTGCTTTGATTCATTCAGAGTGTTCTAAATACTTTTCAGAACTTAGCTCAACCTAAGAAAATAAGAGCCTGGGGTGTGTATGTGTAGTAATTTTTCTTAAATGTCAAAACACGAAGATGCAGTAGCAGACTTTAAAAAGTCAAACTAAATGGTCTTAAGAAAATATTTTTAAACTTGTTTTTGAGAAATGCCACAAACTTCAGACGCACCATTTCAGCAAATCCTTTGTTGCCTATATAGATTTCAGCGATCTAATGGGAGAGGCAGGACAATGTGAAACATAAAAAAGGACGCAGATCACCCCTGTCCGACATATAATCTTCCCGAAGCTGGGCTAGGCCAAGTAGCCACACCTCGGCAACCTCCTCAATGGGTGGGCTAAACCAGATGAGGGCATCCAGTGTTGTATGTGCCTCCATATCCGGTACTTCTGCTCCCATGTCCATTCTCCCCTCCCACCCTAAAAATTCCTGTGGAGAGAGCGACATTCAATCCCGTCTGTGGCCTAGGCTGACTCGGATCGCTCTCCCCTAAACAAAACTGTGACCCATAGCAGGGCTTGGAGGCCGTCTGGGATGTCTCAGTAGCCCTATTTAAGGAAGACGCTGATTACTAACTCATGGGAGAGGAGGCTGGAAAAAGGTGTTATTAACAAATGTTGGGTCACCTTATCAGCAAGCTGACCGCGGATTGCAGGTGTACAACTCACAGTCGAAACAGTGCCACAGACAAAAGCAACCCCGTTCCCATATCCTCCGCCCCACCCCATAAACTGTTAGAGTGAGCCTTTTCACTATGGCAGACGGGAATGTCTGTTCTCTCTTAGACAATCGGGGAGTAGCTGTTAGGAATGAAGACCAGTGATAGTCGTTCGAAAACTGGTGCAATAAAGTCGGCATCACTGCTCTCAGTCCTCTGAGCAGGTTCGGCAAGAGAAGGCGGCCACCAACAGGATGAGCGACGCGGGGCTGGAACGACATCGTCGGAATATTTTCCTTTCCGCCGCAGGGCATCAACGACCGACTGATGACCCTATACCTATCTCTTCGCCACAGTAATCATCGTCTAGATCCCACAATGACCAGCTCCGACAAGGTGGAGAAAAGCCTTACGAAGACCTGCACACCCACCTGGCGACTTTGCCGAAGGCAGACAAGCTGAATGCTGTTGGCGACTTCAGTGTCCTTGTCAGGGCAGACCACACCGCCTGGAAGTGCGTGCTGGGTCCTCATAGACTCGGCGACTGCAGCAACGACCACTTCCTCCTTCAGCGAACCCGCGCAGAACAGCGCCTCCTCCTGATCAACACCCTCTTTCGCCTTTCGACGCAGAAGAAGGCGACCTGGATGCACCCTCGCTCGTGGCGCCAGCATTTGTTGGACTAAGATCTCCTCCACGGGGTGAGATTTATGGAACGTGCTGGCGATGAAAGCGGTCTACGAGGCTGACGGCTAGCCGGATCACCTCCTCGTCATCTCGAATGTGAGACTCCGACTGTGACTTCACAGGAGACTAAGTGATAAGCAACCACCAGGAAAGTTAAATTCTTTTCTGTTGAATTTATCTGTTCACCGCTTCGATCCTGGCAATCAACTCGTCCAGCGCCTGGAAGACCTGCAGGCTCCATATGACAACGTCACCAAGGAGACTCAGTTGTTCAGAAGACTGGCGAAGTAGCTGGTTCGACGTCTCAAGTATCTGACCTGTGATTCGAATGCCACAGTCAGCTCGTCAACACAATTCTTGAAGGAACTTAAAGGGGTAAGTCTGCTACCAAGCGACCTCATGGTATCATTTGATGTCACGTCCCTTTTTACTTTTATCCCACAGGACCTGGCAGTCGAGACCATCGCCCTCTTCGCAGACATTCGATTTACGATGGAGGGGGAAGAAAACACCCATCTGGTCCTTCTTTATGTACTCGTTTGCCGAAAAGATTGTGGTGACCTTAAAACCAAAGTGTTGAGAAAAGCGACAAACACGACGCAAGTACTGAGCTGCAACAGAACCCACCCAATCAGTCATGGATGCAGTTGTGTAAGGGCGCTACACCAGCGTGTGGAAACACAACATTGAACCGGAAGACGAGGTTGATGAATTACAATATCTTCGACTTTTGCTGAGAGTTAATGGCTACCCGCGTAACTTTGTCAACCGGTGTCTGCGCAAACGAGACGAGAGGCGAACTCCAACCGCTCCAGATTTTGGCGGACCCTTTGATACGTGAGGAGCGTCTCAGAAGCCGTCAGTCGCCTTCTTACGCCCTTTAGAATTAAAGTTGCGCACGGGCCGAAGGCAACCATCACGCGCCAGAGTATGAGGCCGAAAGACCCACTGCTACGGCAGGGAACATCTTGAGTCGTTCACCTGGTCTGGTGTAGTTGTGGACAGAGCGTTTATTTCGGAGAATCCAGGAGACTGCTTCGAACACGAATGGCCGAGCACGCAGCAGCAGTTAGGAGGAACGTCGCCAGCTCGCAAGTCGCGGCTCATTCGGCAGGACCCGACGACACATTCGAATTTGATGAAGCAGAAATTCTTGCTGGAGATGACAAACGCGTGAGGCGCGAACTGCTCGAGTCATGGTTTTCCGGTCCTCAATCAATCAACACGCACAGCCACCTCTGCGCTCCATATTCGGCGCTGCGCCTTTGTCTTGGCAAAGTAGTTAGCTGCATGCAGATGACCACTGTTCCTGGCGTCAACGTCGACGAGCCAAATTGCCCAGACGTCCACACGAATGAAGAAATCCGACCGTTAGCAACTCTAATACGTGCGATGAACTTGGGACCTGATAATCTTGACCGACACACGACAGTTCGACCGTCGCGTCCGACGATGTCCACCGTATGTGCCACAGCAGGGGGGGAGCGGGGATGGTGACTTGTGCGAAAATTTTGTCCATAGTGGTAGTAGACTTACACAGCATCTACTGCGCTCTCTCCTCCTCTCCCACCTAAACCCATTGTTCTGACAGAGTCAAGAAGGCCAGAGGTGGGGGAGGGTGCAGATGGATGGCACGTTCGAGCCTGCACTTTGGCGTTCCACCCCGCATCCTCTGGTCCACACAACAAATAACCAGATTTTTGATTCACAACAACAATGGGGGTGGCAGGGTCCCAGTGTGCTCGACGGCTGCCGGACACCGGGTCTGCCACCGCATCCTGAGATGTTGGCATTTGTTACGGTGCGCAAAGCCGATAACGCCTGCAAGAGTCCAATATGACCCCGTGTTGGTTCAGCGGATCTACCGCGTGGCCCATTTCGGGGGCACAAATCTTAGCTCAGAGAGCCGAGAAGCGATGCACAGGGCATAGCAACTGCATACCTCACCACTCGGCCAGTCGAGTTGGGATTCACTCTGAAGCTACCACCTGTGATAGGCATGTAACAGTCTGACAATTACATCCTACAAATATAGCAACATTTGGACAGTCTATTACCCTTATCTGACTCTGCCTCCAATGATGGATTCATGTGAGAATCCGAAACGTCAGGCTAACGAGGTTCCTGTTCCAGCGATCGTGCCTCCTTCTTCGCGACCTCTTCCTGGAACTCGCCTCTTCGTTTCTATTAGTTAAATGTACAAAACCGTCATGTTGGCGACAATGCCGCATGGGATGGAAGTCTGAACAGTCTATGCCAATCACACTGAGGCGGCAGGACAGGATCCCTGTCGCAAAAGTCTAGGGAAGGCCAGAATCTTTAGCATCCAAGCCATACTGACGAAACTGTAACTGAGGTGGAACGACCACCTTGTGCGGATGGGCGATTGACGACTACTTAAGCTGCTCTTTCACAGAGACATTGCTATGGTTACTCACCGACAAGGAGGCGAAGCACGACGTTACAATAACACCCGGAGAGCTCTCTCAAGCATTTGCGGACAAACCCCGAGACCTGGAAGTATCTCGCCCAGGTCTGACCGACCTGACAAGAACAGTGAAGAATGAAGCAGCAATCTTTGAAGTCAGCCATATCACCGCCGCTAAAGCCAAAAGAGCAGCTTGCAAGTCTCAAGTACCTCCGAGCCACAACGTCAACACCCAACCATTTCAAATATGCTCGCGCGGACAGTAGACGTTTCGTTCACGGGTCGGCCATGTAAGACATCTCGAAACACAGCGAAGCAACAACCCAAAAACCCCTACGGAGTCTGTGACGACGATGAAGACTGCCATCTCTCCCGTTCTTTACACCGATGCGAACTCTACTGACGCACCTCAACCAATACTTTCATCACCACCGCCCCAACCACCAGAAATGTGCGCTAGATCCCAAACCGTTCTCAATGTGATCCCACATTCACCTCACGAATAGGCCTGGTCGTTTACTTGCAAATCCTCCGCATTCAGACCAGCAAAGCAGTACCAGAAATCCCGGCGTCCACCCGACGCGTCCACCTCCACTATCCTTACTGTCAACGCATGCTACCTAGCCGCTTGGGCCTATTCGGCCACATGCGTATACACGACGGCGGAATTCGCCCCAATATCGACATGACAAACATACTTTGCACGCCCGACAACTCTCCCATCTCCAGCAATCCAACTCCCCAGCAATAGACGCAGCCAAAACCAGTAGTACTATCCCCACAACCGACTTCGCAGCTCCTAACCTATGCAGCCCACATTTTCATACCCTATGCATGTCGCGCATCGGTCTCCTCGGTCACTTGCGAGTTCGTCGTACAGATACTGGCAAACTAGTGCCTGAAGCATTAATATACGCCCATCGCCATCGCCTAGATTGTCCTCAATGCCCTCGCACATTCATCCATCGTATTGGCCTGTTCGGCCGCATGCGCCTCCAAAAGAACAGGTCCTGAACCATCCCAGACTAAAACATATCACCCTACATAGCCTTATCAGCACATGCACCGCACATGAACACGTCCAACACCACACACCACAGGCACGGACTCGACATACCACTCACGTAACTGTGAACGGTGTTCTTCGGCTCCTTCTTTATGTGGCCCTTTGGCTACTGCGAGATCCGAGCAGTTCACCCATTTCTCGCGG